CCTATTCGATACCAGATTTAAGTACCCAAGAGTCTCGGATTACTAGATCTAGATCTAGATCTAGATCTAGATCTATTATAGGCCTAATATAATACATGTAGGCTACTTTTACAGTAATATTTACAACAAAAATAATTTTTTTAAAAATCAAAACCATGCTGATTAGTAGACAATGACAAACCTCAATTAACCCCCCCCCCTCTCCCCCAAAAAATAAATAAAAAAATAAAATAAATGAAAAACACAATGTTTACACATATTAATATTATTTGAAAGAACCACTTTTGAATTTTATTCAGTCTTTTCTTTTGTTTTGCTATTTGACTAGAATTCTAGATCTATTTTGATTTTGGATTTTGATCTTTGTTTTGGTGCGGCTTGGCTATCGATATCTGGATACTTCCGGTTGGATCTGTGTTCGTTTTCATGTCGTTAGGCATTATTGGCCTATAGGGCTTGATCAATTGGGCTTTAGCTTTGTCGTTTGTCTTTGTCTTACCATAGTCATAGCGTGGCGTGTGTTTGCTCACTTGGACAATTTTCTCTGATTGTACGTCTTAATTTCAGGGACATCATTCTGAGTGTTTTAACAACGTTGGGAAATGGCAAGAAGCAGGAGCAGGTCACCAACGACTTCGAAAAGAGGTAGGAAAAATATCATGTACACATTGTTGTTTGTAGCCTGGCCTTTGGCTGGCTCATTTTCTTCCTTCATCATCACGTGTGATCAACAAATGCCAGATCTGTGACAGATATCGGCGATCATGGTTCTCTATTCAATCCATTCCCTTGCTCTGTTGCTCTAAAAAGTTACATTATCCAACTCGTCTAGACTAGACTCTAGACTCAGCCTGATGCCTGATCCTTCCCTGTTTCTGTTTAGACTTTAGATTTTCGAAGTGATTATTCGGACTCGAGTCCGAATATGAAAAAATGTTATTCGGACTCGAGTCCGAATAACGGCGGCCTATTAGTCTATAGAATAGAATCTCTTGTAAGAGCTAAATTTCTTGTGCTTACAAAACTTTGAAAGACAAAGAATGTGAAGTAAGGCAAATGAAGCATGGTTAGGTTAGAAAGGAGAAGGTTAGACCCACAGCAGACTCTTCTTGGAGAGCCTCTGACTCTAGATTCTAAAATCTAAGGCCGCCGTTATTCAATCAATAAATTTAAGGAAAGATTCTTGGATGGTCCCTTCACCTGAAGATAGTTTAAGCATGAACTAAACCCTATTCACCCTGGGTGGCCATGGACAGTGTGAGTGTGCTTGATTCCACCTGGCTAGCTCTTAGCTGGGGTGATCGATCTAAACTTAACATACTAAACTAAATTTACATACTCCTTGAGCTCAAATTTCTTAAGCTATCAATATCAATATAAATTGTGCTTACATTTTACTTAAGATCTTAAGATGGTCTACTAAAATGAGTAGGGAAAATGATAAATTTTGGAAGTGCCTATTTGCAATGCTGCTTTACGATGAGCGCCAGTGCTAAATAAAACGCAGTGTGTTAAATATAAGTATAGGCTTAATCTACACTTGTTTGTTGGAAGTTCTGATGGCTGAATGGACAACGCGTCTGCATTTGTAGTCAAACCATTATTTTATGAGCGTGGGAATGAATCCCGGTCCTGGAAGTTTTTTGTTTTGTTTTTTTCTCTCCTCCTCTTCCTGACTGACCAACAATTTTTTCCCATAATTATAACTTGTTGCTTTGTATTTTTTTAATGTAGTGATGAAGCATGTCGCATGCACATTCTGGTTTTGTCCGCAAGAGGAGCTTTTACAAGCAAAGTAGGCCTATACTTTTACTTTTACTTTTACCAATATAGGCCTGGTTAAAGTTCAATGGTGGCTTTCCTTGGTCTGTGAGTCTAATTATTATTTTTATTTTAATTTAGGCTCAGGGGAAGGAAAAAAAAAACCTTCCGGTACCGGAATTCAATGCCTCGCTTGGAAGCACTGAACATTAGAGAACATAGACAGCTTGTATACGTTCTCTAGGCCTAACGTTAGAGAATGTAGACACTACCCCAAGCTAATTAAAACGCCAAAGCCTAGATCAGGTGTTATCATGTGTGTGATGGCAAAATATAAAGTGCACGCAGAGATTATTTTTTTAGGTATTGTATGACGACACTGCCGATAGGAAATAGTGCTTTCCGAGTTGCACCGTCTTGTAAATTGTTATCCAAGCGTCTTTTGACTTGCTTGCTCAAACTCAAATGATTATATAATGATTATGAGAAATGAACAAGACTACTTTCGTGCAAATAATATCTGTGTCAGAAACAATTGTTTGATCTAGATCTACCCAATATTGGTCGGAATAAGACAACGTCATAAAAAAGGAGTCAAATCCTAGGAGGTTTATCAAGAAACGGAGAAAGCTTCCACAATCCAGACAAAACTACAATATTATTATGTTGAAACGATGGCTCCTAGTTCTGGCATTTCAAATAGCATGGGAGTTAATCAGAACGTGGCGTTTCAAATAGCATGGGAGCTATTCAGAACGCAGCGTTGCAAATAGCGCCTGCCATAAATTTTTCATCAGATCGGCTCATTGGCACTCCATTTGCATACAGCAACTTCTAGTAAATCAATGGTCTTGATCTACTTAACTCCTTCAAGGCATTAAAATCAAACCGAGTGCCTTGTCTTGTTTAGATAAAATTTATGTCTACTTTCACATTCTTCGTTGCATATATGCCCAAATCAAAACCAAAAGTATGATTCATTCATTATTACAAACACAAAAATAGTTGTACCCCTGGGTTGTTGTTTTTTTAATCCTTCTTGTCACCTAACTTATTTTGTTGTAGTTTGTCTTAATATTTTAAGAGATGTTTCTTTTCTTTTGGCAAACCTAGACGAGTAGTGGATAAAAGAGCTTGGTTTTGAAGAGTAATTAAATACCTGCTACGTCTATCCACATAATCCTGTCAAGGCAAGCGCATGGGCCCTACACATAGGTTATGTAGGCTTGTTGAGATGAGTTGATTAGATTAAACATTTAAAAAAATAATTATTGATTGTAGTGGGTATGATGCTAAATTTTTTTCTTTCATTTGTCAAAACATGTGTGTATCACTGCTCTTGGGAGCACTTTTCTGGTTTCCTTGCTAATTCTAGCTGATGAGGAACTGATTTGTAATTAATGACTCTTGATTTTTATCTCTGCAGATCGGAGGAGGTCTAGATCCCGGTCCAGAGAAAGGAGACGTAAGTTGCCTTTTTAAAAGTTTTTTTTTTTTACCTTATCAGCTAGCTCAGTTGTTGAAATGTTAGAATGCAGTGTAGTGCTGTTCGATTTCGAGCAACTTGGAAACACATGTGTCACTTTTCCCATGAAACTACGACAGCTACAGAGTTGAAAGTTGACAAGTACCTGCAAAAAGATTGATAGGTCCCCATGACGGAGTCCGATTTTTTATTTGTTCATGTCCTGAATTTAGAAAAATATAAATTTGACAAAAAGTTCGCATCCTTCTTTGGCTTTTGTGATTATTCCACTGAGAAACGAAACAAATCTGCCTAGAGCTGTCCTTCTCAGTGGAAGTGCCAAAAGTTATATTATTTTTGCAATTTCGATTTCGTTTCTTTCTAATGAAAGATAATTGAATGGGCTACGAAAAAGACGAACCAGTACCGCAAACAGTGCAGTTTTAGCGTGAGAAAAAAATTCCAAAGTGCAAACCGCAAGGGTTGCGGGTGGGGTATAACAGCATCAAAGCGAATTTACCCGCAACAGTTCTGGTTGCGGTAATGAGTGAGTTAAAAGGTGTTAAAATCTATTGTTGAAGCATGTTTTCTCTTCCCTGCTATGTTTTACCATGGATTTCCATTCATGATATCAATGTCAACTGAATGCCAAAGTGAAAATGAATTTTCCATGAATAAATACTTTTAAAAAATCTTTTTTTAAAAGTTTGTATGTGTTCTCATTTTTGTTAAACTTAAAAGCTCATTTTCTCAAAATTATATGTTTATACCCTACCTCACAAAATGTGCAATATTTCAAAAACTACTTGAGATATCTAAGAAATTCAAAAACCCATGTGTTCAGCATTGAATTTCCTATAAGATGCTACCCTAAACTCAAAAAGGTCAAAATCCGACTTTTGGTACCTTTCTTTAGGCACACTCACATGTTATAATGAATACTGTAACTCGGCTGGCAAAGTCAATCACAATTTATTTCTCTGTCTTCCTCTATAGATTAAATTGTTTTTAACATGCAGCCTGGTTTCTTTTGTTTTTAGACCGAAAGAAGAGGAGCAGATCTCGTTCTCCAAGAAGACGGCCCTCACCACAGCGTCACAGGTCTCCCTCTAATTCCCCGCCAAGGAGAAGGTAAGCCTCATGAAGTTCTGAAAAAAAATTAAATGGAAAATATTATGAACACAAAAACAAAACGCTCTTTCTTTTGAATTTTACTACTTTTGTCTATGCTCTCCCCCCCCCCCTCCAATTCAAAGGGATTCTGGTATACTGAATGTGTTTTTATTGATTTATTCTGTGCTGTAGCCATTGTAATAATTGGATTTAGTAGTATAAGACTCATTCATTGTCTTAAGGTGGGTTTGTGTAGGACATTCATGTGGAAAGATACTGGCTAGGAATAGGTCAGATTTATCCTCAGAGATTAGAAGTAGCTGTCTTATTGCCGTGCTTTGTATGTTTAAGATTGTTCAAGCACCACTTTGATTCTTTTTCTCACACAGATCACCTTCCCCTCGGAAACGATCCCAAGAAAGGTGAGTAAAAAAAACCCCTCAGAAACATGGGCATGTAGCCTGCTGTTTGCGTACCACATTAGAAAATATATCTGTCTTAGCTAAGGTGGAACTCTTTGTTGAACTTGTAGTGGTAGTTTCCTTAAAGTGGAAGGGGGGGGGGGGGGGGGGTAATAAACATTTAGGGATGGCAGTAAAACCTGCTCGAAACAGTGTTAGGATTTTACTTTTTTGTTATTGCCATGATGGTTAATGCAGGATCTTAACTGATTCAGGGGGGGGGGGGGGGATCCCACATCCAGGTCACAATAGGATCTCCCCTTACTTTGAAATGTACCGATGTGACCCTTAGGTATGTGTTTTTCTTTTGGCAAGTTTTGTCCTTGTACGTTTGGGTTGTTAGGCAAAGACCACTGTATTATCCAGTGTAGCATTTTGACTTCTGCATTGTTGCTGACGAAGGAAAAAATACCCCAGACTGTGATTTGGAATGTACACACAAGAAATGGGCCTAACTGTTTAGTTGTATTTTTGGGGCACAGATGTGGGAACTCAAATGAACTCACTGTTATCTGTGGTGTTCTGGTTAGATCTTTCACTAATGATATGTGAGTTTGAATCCGGCTTGGTGAAGTGTTTTATATAAAAGTGCATATTATTATTGCCGGAGTGTTGTATTTTACTAAGCCTTGGTTGGCCATGATAGGCAAAGTTGAAGCAGCCCATCTGTAAAGGGTTTAATTTGTGTAAATGCGGGTGTGGGACGTTTCCAGCCTAGAAATTTATTATTAATAATCTTGCTTCCATGTTCTGACCAGTGCTTTTACAAAATTTCTTTCTGCAGAGATCTGGATAAACCAGACAAACAGAATCATGTTGACGGGAGAGCGGAAATCGATGGTAAGTTTTTTAGCATCAGTATATATTTATTTGCTGACTTCACATACTTAGAGAGGCCAAAGTAGATGTCATATATTGACAAAAATGTCTGTGACTCTTATCACAGCTTTGTCCTGGTAGAAAGTGACGGTAGTTCCTGCAGAACGTCCAAGATAGAGCTCACTCCACCATCTGCTATTCTCTTTGTCATTCATATTCCTATCTTTTGTCTCAATCTGAGGAACCTTCTATATTGCCGTATGTTGTTTGGAAATTGCCAAACCTTGAAACCCTGTCATTCGTCATTCATATTCCTATCTTTTGTCTCAATCTGAGGAACCTTCTATATTGCCGTATGTTGTTTGGAAATTGCCAAACCTTGAAACCCTGTCATTCGTTTGTGATCTCTTGGTATTGAATGTTGTTGACTAGTTTTTAGCAGTGATCACCGTAAAAGTATTTTTAAAAGATTGGTGAAATCATCTGTTTGTCCTTGGAAAGACTTCAAACATGTATTGCTTGTTGCAATGTATAGTTAAATCATTGTTTAATTTGATTGAATAGAAGAGTAGCATGCCCGTAGAAAGTCATAATTACTAAGGGAGAAAAGGATCATTTGTCCTTTCTTTACTGTAGTGGAAATTCGCTTCTCAGAACCATTGTTCTTTCTTTTTTTTTTTTTTTTTTTTTTGGATTTTTATTTTTTTCCCTATAATTTCTTAAAGGTTTTTTTTTTTTAACGTAGGTTATGCTATTTTAGAGGATCATCTCACCTGTTCAAGAGCTTCAGGGCATTTATCAGGATGGTTCTTTTCAGGGTTAAAAGCGAAATGGTGACCATTGTAGTGATATGTTTCTCCTTTGACTCAGAGACAGGTAGGGTATTTGAAGTTTTGTGGTATAGTACTATGATACGTGGAAAATACTCATCAGATAAAGACTGGACTATTCTTTGTTGTGTGTATGACTTAATGTACATTCTGCTTACAGAGTCGAAGCTGGAGGGTCTGGATGATGAGCAAGTGGACATGATGAAGCTAATGGGATTTGCGACCTTTGACACCACGAAGGTGAGTTGATGTTTATTTTGTATCATTGTATTGTAACTTGCCTTAGCAATAAAGAAAAAACAAATTCCAGCAGATTTGGTTTACATGAAAGAATTTGGGACGTTCCATAATTCCGTGTTTTTTGTTGTTGTTTTTTTTCTCACAGAAGCCTACTGTTGTCAATATGAATCTTTGTTCAATAACCACGTACACACACCACCCTCTTGTTTTGCCGGACATGGAATTGAGAAACTTAAGGGGGGGTTGGGGGGGGGGGCTGCTAACTATAGCTAATTTTATGGAAATATCGTCTTTGCTTTACTCACCCTGGATCAGGATATAGGCCACGAACAAACGCTTTCCACCTTTCCCTATCCTGGGCTAGTCGCTTGATGTCACTCCATGTCTTCCCACTTTTCTGTACATCCATTTCCGTGACTCTTCTCCAGGTTCCACATGGTCTTCCCCTTGATCTTTTACCCTGTGGGTTTCAATCTAACATTTTCCTTGTTATGTTGCTGCTTGACTTCATGAAAATGTGTCCTTTCCATCGCCAACGCCTTCTTCCCACCTCATCTCTGACTGGGCTGTCTCATTCTTTTCAATACTTCCATGTTGGGTGGAAATATCCCGTATTTTGTAACTTTCCAATTATCCTTATAATGTGAGTCTGTGATTTATCAATTTCAATTCCATGTTTTGGGCTACAATTTCCCTTGAGCCTCATTCTCTGCAGTAAAGGCATCTATCTGAGGTTGAAAATAGGGTTTCTTCGTCTTCAATCCCCAAAAGGGAACTGCTCTGCTCAAAAAATGGGTGACACAATGCCTAGCGTTTGGTCTAAATACTGACAAAAAGGTCGGCTCCCCTTTTAAAATCTTTTTACAGTGGAGTAGGTAGCGTAAACACGGCCTCGCGGGCACTCGTGGCCTTCCGACCGCGTGGTATCGATGAAATCGGGGTAATTCCGATCGCTGTTTCTTTGCTCGTTCGCAATAAAACACCAAATGTCGTACACCTTGTAAAAGTTCAGCTTTTCCTCGTTACAATGGTGTAAGTTTTTTTTTTTGTCCGATTAGTAGGAGCTGGAGAATCGCCAACGCAAGCGAAGCCCCTCGCGGTCGGAATGCGTAGTCGGCCGGTTGAAAAATTGACATGGGTGCATTCAAATGCTTCACGGAACGAGGGATGATTAAATACCATCTTTTCATTGGCGGAGAACTGTAGAGCTTTAAACGGGCTTTCCCGTGGTATGTATTTGGCCTTCGCGTCTAAATAGAAAGCTTTAAAAAATACTGTCAAAATGTTTAAAGATCACTTTTTACATAAAATATGTAAAATACCGGCTTAAAAAATATATTTAAAAAAAGATCAGCTTATTTTCTATTAGAATAAAGTAATCAACTTGGAATTATTTTTCACCAATCCTTCCGCGAAACTCAGAAAACATGTGACCCCGCACGCGGGGTGCACTACAGTATAGAGCCGACTCGCTCGCCGTGGGGCCCGGTGCGGCGCCGGCGGGGTCAACTCTGTGTTTTTGTCGAAATAACGACAGATCATCATGTTTGGGGTGATAAAATACTGATTTGTAATGATCTCACAGTCTTTAAAAAAATTAGGCTCCATATATTTGTTATAGTGATTGTACTCTGTTAATGTGATGTTAAGTGGTCTTGGTACTCTTTTATTGTCTGTCAAACATGGGGTTGCAGCTAGTGATTGACTTTAACAAATTTGATCAAATTTTAAACAACTACAATTTTCTTAAAAATCGACTGAGGTTAAAGAATGGTACCAAAATGCTCAGCTTTTCAAATGGAACTGATAAATTTGGCATACAGCTACTTTGAAAATTTAGTTTCTGGTACCTAAGTGGAGTCCACTTATAACGAGGTCTGACAATATTCTAAAATCCCGGGGGGGGGGGGTTCTTTCTTTATCTTTGATTTTGATTTTTCACTTTGTTATATTGTTGCATACACTATAACCGCAAAGATTATAATTAGTTGCTTTGTCTTGTTTCAGGGCAAAAAAGTAGATGGCAATGATGTGTCCGCAGTGAATTTGCAGCGGAAAAGACGGTACAGGTGAGGATGGATTGATATAGTAGAAGTAGTAGAAACCTCATAATAAGAGCAAGGCAGAGTTGTTTTGTTTTTGTTTGTTTTTTGGGTGAGGGGGGGGGTGATTGGTGAACTCTTTCTCGGTATTACTGGGAATTGAGATTTTTTAAACTATATTTCTGCATGCTCCACGCTATACAAGGGTCCTAGTTAATCAGGTAATGAGTTAAATCCAATAGCAATAGCTTTTCGATTGGTGGCACAATTAAACTCAGATACAGCGAACTCGGATTCAACAAAAGGAGAAGGATTGAATTTCGGAAAACATTTCTGCTCACTGAATGTCACAGAAATAACACCGAAAGTAAATGATTGTAACACAATAACATAAGGGCAAGATCCTGATGTTTTACTTCAATATTATTACTCTGGCTTTCAAAATTCCCAAACATTCCTAGATCTAGTATAATTATAAGCAAAGCAAAAAAGGTGTTGGGCCTGTATTAGGTCAAGAAAGGGATAGTAGTTTCGTCTTAACTTCCCTTGTGTTTTAGTTTTTAGAAATCTTCATTTTCAGTTAGGAAAGTTATTAAACTAAAGTTTTGTACAAGAATTAAATCTTATTATTAAATCATCATCTTGGAAAAAATGCCAACACCCACTCCCATCCATGTTTACGATCAGGGCTTAGCCGATATCCCGTGTATGTTCAGAAATAGGGCTCATTTAGTTAAGAAGAACATGTAGGCTAACTATATCTTGCTGGCTTCATAGACTGACTGTTCCTTTTGATACTGGTATGATTTGTTCGATGTAGAGATACAGATCTTTAGTCTTGTTATGCTTGCATGATCATTTGAATAAGATATTGTAATAATCTGTGACAGCGGTCATCATGACACCCTGACCTATACTTAAAATTAACTTTTTTTCCCCCACGTTTTCAGGCAGTACATGAACAGACGAGGAGGTTTCAATCGGCCATTGGACTTTGTTGCTTGAGTGCACTTTTCATCATGGAATGGAGCTGTCATATTTTCATATTTCATCATGCAGCAGTTCAAGCATTTGTGTGCAGTCATTTCCTAAAATAAGTCAATAACACTCATTGTATTAGTCATACCCCGAGGTGTGAATAGGTTATGTTAGACTCACACTGTGTGAATTGGTGAATTACATTTGAATGCTATTTCATGAATTGTCTGTAAATATATTTGCAATAAAATGTTTGTTTTACATGTCATTCCGTTTGTCCTCTACTGGTGTTATCAAAATGTACATTGTTGTGTGGTTGGCAGGTGTTCTGGTGTTGTTGCGCCTTCTTTCCTATCGAACATCTCTCATTCTTATCTCTTCTCGCTTACTTATTAACCCTTTCGTTTCTAGTGGGTATACGTTCCTTCTGTCAGCACTGATTTTCAGCTGAGCTTGTTACCCAGGTCAGCAGCCTAATGTCTCAGTGTTAATGGACGCACGGTTTAGATGTAGCGTACTCGTGACATATTTCGGACACTGGGTCTTCGACTTTGTCACTTTTCTTATTCCCCATTTCCTTCCATCTTACTCATAATTTCGAATAACTTGCAAATCTAAGTCTAAAAGTGAATTTTTTTGCCTTTTTAAAGCAATTTTAATGTTAACGTTTTACGAGAGCACATGGCCGCCCGCAAGCCTAGATCTGTGTTTATTGATTGCTTGCAAGCCTAGCGGTAAAGAAATTCTTTGTCCAATATGGGCGTCTTTTATTTCCGAACACGAATCTACGCAGCGCTTGTGGCAAAAACTATGTACAGAAGAACTAGAGCCATGTTATTAGCGTGACATACTTCATACATGTAACGTTATATAAGCAACTAGGAGGGGTAAATTTTTCTAACTTTCGTGACGTACATGGTACGACAGAGCGCTAAAAATAATGCATTTTCCTGACGTACCAGGTACGCTTTAAGGCAACGAAGGGGTTAAACAAAAATTTATTGTTGTCTTATCATCTTCCCAGTGCAAGGTGTTGACACTTTTCCATCTTAGAAAAGCTGTTATAATTATTCTGTCCGCGTGATTTTATCCTAAAGAAATTCTGAAATTATGCAAACTGAGCCCAAAAATGTGAAATTATGCAATTCTGTTAATTTTAACAAAGAATGATAAAGGAAAATAATCAGAAATTATGCAAAAAATTATCAAATTTTGCTAAATAATGCAGGGTGCATAAAACCATGGGGACAGTATATTACTGTGACGTTTGTTCAGCAAAAGCATGTGGCTTAACAGTCGCCAACTGTAGGATGTCGTTTGTTCTGAAATATTGATGGTGGGATTCAACACACAGAAGAGGGTTGTAAGTGATTTTCGAATTATTATTATTATCCTCTTTGGTGATTGCTACTTGCTAGCCTACCCACAATAGTGAGGGTATGTCGTCTGTCTCTCTCTCGTTCTTTCTTTTTCTCACGCTCTCTCTCTTTATTTTTTTAATTTACCTCTTGTCCTCTCTTTCTTTCTATTTCTAGCATTAATACCCTCTTTCGCTTCCCCTCCCTACCACCCACATCTCTCTCTCTCTCTCTCTCTCTCTCTCTCTCTCTCTCTCTCTCTCTCTCTCACTCACTCTCTCTCTCTCTCTCTCTCTCTCTCTCTCTCTCTGGGGGGGGTGGTAACACTGAGAAGAGTAGATAAAGTTGAAGACTATAAAAGTATTATTAATAATGTCGCACCTTAGCATGTGCACAGATAGAAACTGACCAGGGATATCTCATTACGAACAAGGCTGAAGATTTTCTTTTCAACTCAAATGTGAAGTCAGTCTTGTTGTATGGATGTGAGACATGGAACGCATCTCAGACGTGCATAAAATAAAGAGGATCGAGGTTTTCTTGAACAAGTGTTTGAGGAAGTTACTGAGGATCAGATGGACAGACATGATCCCCAACGAGGAAGTATTAAGAAGAACGAGTCAGAGATGAGGTGAGGAGAAGGCATTGGTGATAGATTAGACACACTTTCAGGAAGTTAAGCAGCTGCCTAAAAAGAAAAGTGTTAGATTGGAACCCACAGGGTAAGAAATCTAGGGGAAGACCACGTGGAACCTGGAGAAGTGTCACGGAAATGGATACAGAAAAGTGGGAAGACATGGAATTACATCAAGCAACTAGTCCAGGATAGGGAAAAGTGGAAAGTGTTTGTTTTGTTTTTTTCGTTAGTGTTTTACGGCGCTCGCAACTGCAAAAGGTCATACGAGCACGCGGGACACATTAGACTTTTGGAAGTGGTTTTGGTGATAATAGCCTTTGGCCCTATGTACTATATCTCGCTATTCTCACCTTCCTCAGATGTGCTAACATACAGAAGGCCTGGGGGTGGTTGGCGGGTGCTCTGGTGTGGTTTGCTTTTTCTTTCCTGTCAAACGTCTATCGTCTTTATATCCCCTCCTTCTCTTTTGTGTTTGTTACTCTCTTGTAACACCTCTAATCTTCGGCACTTATGACCTTATATTGTGTTGCAAGTGCCGTAAATTTTCTTTCACATTATATTAAAATGTTTACAGTTGTGTGTGAGTGGGGGAGGGGGTGGGGATGGCTAAAGTAGGGGTATAAAATGAGGAGAGAGTGAGACTTTTGTGTGTGTGTTGTGAAGAAAGGGGGTGGGGGGGGAAGAAAGAGTCTATGTGAATGATGGCCGGTCAGTTCTATAAACCACGAACCGCCACTGGTCGTAAAACACTTACTAAGACTACTAAGAACAGTAGGCCTATAGTCTCTATAGCACAGACACACACAGAACAGCACAGAGAGAGGATAACTTTCAGGTTTAGTTTATTTTAATGGGCTGGATGAAGGCCATTTCACACCATGAACAGCAAACAACAGTGAAAAACACACACACACAAAGCAACCGATCTAGATCTAGATCTATGGTTATGCTATGCAAGGACGAAATGTCAAAAGCAGAACGCAGCTGATACATGTACCTACGGGTCCTCACAATTATTGATCTAGCCTTATTTTAAGAACATTAAGTAAGGCTCGCCTCATGGTCACACCGGGATGGGGGTGAGAATAGCTATTCTCACCAGGTGAGAATGTAGGTGGACTTGACTTTTAGTTGATATGGATTGTTAAATTGTGCACGGGCGGCGGGCGAAGCCTACTCTTATCGATTTTAGATCATTAAGGGATCTTTAACGTACGCAACTTGCACATCCGAGATTTTTCGCCCTTGTCAGAGAAGGCTAGGTGTAGATCTTTCCCACCAGAAGATCAGGGGTGTGGCTGAAAGACAGCAGTAATTTTAAGAGGGAGCCAAGGAGTAGCAGTAAAAAGGCTGCAGAAGCTCAGGGAAGGGGCAAAGGGGGTAGAGGCAGTTGGAGACGAAAGCAGACGACAGAACATTGCTAGATAGAGGCAGGAAAGGGGGTGAAAGAAAACAATTTTAGAGAAAACCCGGGACCTTTGAATGAGAGGCGAACACCGTGCCGTAACCTCTAGGCCGCGAGAGCCCCGAAGTGTACGTTCGTGGCCTATATCCTGATTCAGGGTGAGAAAGGCAATGATGATGATGACGATGAGAAAGAAACTGGAAACTTTACTGACAGTAATAGTACACCTCAATTCCCCAAAGGGAGGGGAACCCTGCATAACCATATACAAGACTTTCCTTATAAAAAAGTGCGGTAAAAAATTCGTGGTGCAACTTTATTTTCAAATATCTCCTCAACTATCGAACATAGGTTCTCCAATTTTTGCACAGTGACAATGAGTGACATGAATCAATTTGTCTTAACAGATCAACATTTTAGTAAACACCATGCAAGCTGTATTCTG